AAGGAAGTGCAGAATTTTGCCAAATATTGCATGAGAATCCTATTCTTTCTTTTACTTTTTCAGCCACTGGACTCAGGGTCTGCAGAACTAGAACCTCTGCTGGCCAGGACTTCTTCCTCTTCACCATCCAACAGGCCTGGGTGGCACAGGCAGAGTTATGTCTGAGGCCGCTCATATTTCCAAGGATCACAAGCAGCTTGGAATTGTGTTCCATATCTCTGGTCCTTGGAACTGTGTTCCAAGCTGCTTGTGATCCTTGGAAATGTGTTTCCAGCTGTGTTCCGTTTGTGTTCCACTGGGAGACTAGGGAGCCATGAAAGGCTTTTCACTGAGGAGTAACAGGGTCAGAGTCGCACTTCTTTTAAAAGTGGCTTTGGCAACAGTGTGAAGATAAATGAGAGTTAGGAGAAAGGGTGGGGAATCTTTCTAACGATTGTTTCAGCAAGAATTAACTAGGGTTGAACCTGCAGTGGTAACCACAGATGGTCCCAAGCCGCCTGGCTCTCACTGTATTCTATTCTGAAAGCATCGTGTCTCCGCATTCTCAGAATTGGTCACATAGTAAGCACTCAATAAATGTTTGCTGGACTAATGAAAAGTGAATAAATCTAATGGGCGCCCTTCATTGTTAAAATGAGGAAATAGGACCAGAGAGATGAAATTACCTGCCTAGGGTTACCTAACTAGGCAAGGGCAGAGATATACCTAGAACCTAGCCTCCAGCTTTCCTTTTCCAGTGATTTTCTAACTTTGTCATGCATCCAAATTACCATTTCCAGAATTTCTGATTCGGTAGGTCCAGCATAGGGCTGGAGGATATGCATTTCTAACAAATTCTGAGGTGATGCTGAGGCTACTGGTCCAGGGATCACATGTGAGAACCACTGCCTTATCTGGTTTTCCTCTATAACACCTAGCTATCTTATTCAGAAAGCAGGGCCTCACCTGGTTCCTTCATCCCTCACTGCTTGGCTCTGAGCTTTTGGGAGAATAAGCATTCCAGCCTGCACAGTGGCAACATAGTTTGGTAGTTAAGAGCCCAGACCTGCAAGTCAAATGCCTGGGTTTGATCCCGTCTCCACCAAACTTATCTCCTCTGGGTATGTACATTATAGAATTCTTATAAGGGTTAGGTTATTGAATGTGCGTAAAACAGTACAATAGTGCCTGGCAAACAGTAAACACAGGAAAGAGACAGCCGTTCTTACAATCCCATGGATAGGCTTGAGCCTGGACCCTGAGGGGAGTCTGATGGTACTGCCTGAACTACAGAGAGGTGTGAGAATATGCCACAGAGTGGTGACAGGTTATACCATATAGTCACCTAGATCCATAAACACATACATCAACAATGAGTGCAAAGGTTCCTAGGAGGGATACCACTATGGGAGGATGCTATCTGGATCTCCCCAAGCTTCCTCCAAATCCACTAGATCTCTCACTACTCTGAGTCAAGGAACCAGATTACTAAATCACAGTTTATAAATTATGAGTTACTTTGTCTAATCTAGATGGTCATATGCATTCATCTATCAGAGGCTGTGATGTCAGCTTGGACTGATTAAAGCAACCGAAGCAAAGGGCAGCATTGGAACACCTGTTCCTTACAGCCCTCCACACCCTCAGGCAGCGGCGGCAGCAGCAGCAACTGATTGTGCTGCCAAGAACCCCTGGGTGCCTGAGAAGCATATGCTGAAGCCATGCAGTAGCTGAGTATAGGTCTCCAGGATGCTGGTTACCCAAAGAACTGTATATTTGGAAATCTACTACTCTAGTCCCAAACATAGGATACACCATCACGATTTCCTCTTTAGCCACTCTCAGCTTTGGGGACATCTGGAAAGAGGTTGCAGAGAGAAGCCAGGAGGAAAAACTCCGCAGTTACTAAAGCAAAACCAGAGTGTCGAAGGTCTAGCATGGGGAGGAGAGGGAGATGCTCTAGGCGGGATGGATTACTTACCAAGTGACATGACCTGTCCCCAAGCTCCACTTCATGCTGATTGAACTCTGGGAGCTCCATTATCCTTTGAAAAGCTCCGTGCAAATGTGAACTTGAACTCTGCTCTTAGAAATACTCAGCACAATTAATACAAACTGGTACTATCAAAAAAACTCCATAGCAAAAAGCAACGAAGAATTTGATCTCTGGAATTAAACAGATCTGGGTTCAAATCTCAGGTCTACCTCTTAAAACCATTATCTTGAGCAAAATCACTTAATGCACTGTGTCTTGATTTCATCACCTGTAAGATACAGATACAATACTTCCCCACCAGGCTGTTATAAGGATCAACTCACATACTGCGTGAAAAGGCATACCATGAAGGCTCACAATCATTGAGGACCAGGAAATGGCCATTGTGTTACTAAGCACTGAGCAAGAGCAAGCATGCTAGGAATGACCCAGGGAACACCAAGTATGGGGAAGAAGGCAAGCTGACAAGTCCAGCTTTCTAAACTTGTGGTAGCCAGCCCATTCCTATGGCTCGAAACTCCTGCCCTTTCCATACTGATATGATTTGGCTGTGTCCCCACCCAAATCTCATCTTGAATTATAGCTCTCATAATTCCTACATGTTGTAGGAGAGACCAGACAACTGAATCACAGGGGCAGTTTCCCCCATACTGTTCTCATGGCAGTGAATCAGTCTTACAAGATCTGATAGTTTTATAAGGGGGAACCCTTTTCACTTGGTTCTCATTCTCTTGTCTGTTGCCATGTAAGGCATGGCTTTTGTCTTCAGCCATGATCGTGAGGCCTCCCCAGCCAGGTGGAACTGTGAGTCCATTAAACTTCTTTTTCTTTGTAAGATACACAGTCTTGGGTATAGCTTTAACAGCAGCATGAAACACATACCTAGTGTGAAAATTAATGTCTGGCCCACCTCCACAGCCTCTTCGACTGTTTATCTCCATATAGGCCCACCTCAGCATCCTCTTCAGACACTTATGCCCAGCCTGTGCCTGGTCTGAGAGGCAGACCTCGTCCCCAAGTAACTGACACCAGGGAGGCATCACCTGGTGATAAAACGACCGCCACTTACCAAGATATGGTCTTATCTTTGTTGGCCTAATAATCTCAGTAGAGTGGAAAAGCCTGAGATGCTCATAAAATCATTCATTCCATGTATATAAATGGAGACCCTGTCCATGAGTCCTCTCCCCCTCAGAAGCCATTTCATTAGAACTTAGTGCCCCCAGCTCAGGAAATCTGGCTCCCAGTTAGTGAGTCCATGGAGTGACTAAGGAAGAAGGCCAAATGGCCTGAAAATAGTGGAGAATTTTTCCTGGAGCAGAGAGGGTAGTCCTCAACCACAACCAGGAAGTAAGGAAGAAATTGGCCCAGGCCAGCTGGGCTTGGGCATCCAGCAACAGCTCCTCCATCCTCAAGGCACCCAGGGGCTCCGCTGCAGGTGTGGTCAGGAGCTGTGCCAGGGGAGACTGGCCTGAGGTCCCACGTGGCTTCCTGCCTGGACAAACACGCCTCCGCAGCCCCGGTGGACTGTCACCTCCGAAGGCCCCCTCAGGCAGCACTCACACTAGCCCATTGTTCTTCCTCCTGCTGGCAGTTCACTGGCTCCTGCTCCCATCCCTGCTCCTGGAGACCCCAGCAGAGCCTTGCATTGCAGCACTCCAGCAGAGTAGGTACACACTGAGCAGGTCCTGGGCTCAACACTGTCACCCCTGTGTGTGTCAGGGAGTCAGGGACCTTCCCTATTTTAGGGACATGCCTCCAAGTCTGGTAGCAGGGACCAAAAGAGCATATTGTGAAAATGCTTTTCAAATGACAGAGATTTTCAACTGGTTTCTATCAGCAATGTTCTTTTCTTTTTCAAATAAATTACTAAGCAGTTCTCCAAAACATAAAGCAGATAGAAAAGCTCCAACTCCAGTGAAAAGGGAGCAGGTGGGGCCCATAGGCTGTATTTGGGGTCTTCCCACTCCTTTGACTTCCCTAGCCCTCAGTCCAGGCAGCCCCACAAGCATCTCCAGAAAACACACAGAGTTGGAGATATCTCTGCCCTAGGCAATGCCCCCTTTGAACTCACCCCGCAGACAAACGTCTTCCAGCCAAACTTGGAGGCACACATCCTGCATCACCTTGATCGCTTTGCACAGCTCCTCAACCTGGTCCACCAGCTGGTACAGGCATCTCGCAGAAGCCACCCCAGAGACATGCCTGTCTTCTCTGGGCCCAGCCCAGATGTGGTGCTGCTATTGCAACACACAGTTTCAGCCCCTGTGCCCTTCAACCTCCTCAGCCCCTGCCCAGGATGGTGACAGGTGGCCATCAAGTAGCAAATTATACTTGAGACTTGAGAGCAATTCAGAGCCAATGCCCCCTTCAGAGCAGTTGAATTCCTACATAAAAACAGGTTGTCTCTATGCTAAGGGGCAAAGACGTGGGGCTTTGGGGATAGAGCTTTTAGAATGGTCCCTCCTGTTATATGCAACTTCTAAACTGCCTTGGCATTAGGTAACATTCTGAAAACCAGTCACCTTAATTTCCAGAGTGACCAGCCAGGGTTATGGAAGGTCCACAGCACTCCCTGTCCCCTCTGCCCTTCTCAGGCCTCTCCCAAGTCAGCCCCATTTCCCTTCACAGCCAAGTCTACCAGCATGTCCCCATTCTGCTGCAGTTCCAGCAGGTGCGCCAGAAAAGTGCCCACTAATTAAGATAGGAATATTTTCTACCCCCTTGTTTTTTAGCAAAAGCTAGTGTGCTTTTCTATTATGTCTGAGGTTCAGCCGACCTTCCCTGAAAATCAAGACAAATGTAACCGCACATGTGGATGCAACCACAAGGCCCAAAACTCACGCTACTCCCGCCCTCAGTGTTCCATGCGTGTGGGTTCACCCACCTCCCAGCATCCTTCAAAGCCTTGCCCAAGACCTACACTTCCCTGAAATCACTTCTAACCCTTCTTTTAGAGTGTTTATGATTCAATTCCTCACTTTTTGATAATTAATCACATGTTGCTTGAATCTTCAATGAACACTTAAGAGTTAAGAGTTTTTGTTTATTTTCATTACTCAATTGTTAGTTTCTTACAGGCAAGGACCGAGCCTTCCCATCTCCCATGGTGCCCAGCAGCGTTTTATACTGTGGTTTGCCCACAGCTAGTTTTCAATTAGTATAGGTTGTTTTATTCATGCCACTGGCTAGGAACAGTGTTGAGAGCATACAAACTCTGAAGAGAGCTCTCATAAAGCTGTTTCACTCAAAGAAACGAAACTAGGGCTGAAAAAGAACATGAGATGAAGCACACATTTTAATCTCCTAATTTCTTAGTTCATTTCATATTTTCCTTAAGCAAGCATTTGCAAATTTAATCTGTATGACACCCATCTCTGGACTGTCTCCCAGTACCCACAATTTCTCCCCCAGTCCACTTTCCAAATGCAGCCAAGAGGTTCGTTTTTTATGCAAATCTCTCATCCTCTTCCATGGCTTTAAATCCTTCAATTGCCCTTCCAGTTTCCCCGAGGCCCCAGTCTAAATCCTTCATCTAACTTCCTAGGCCCTCTGGGAGCTGGGATGGCTGCCACTCTAACCTCATTTCCTGTCAAATTCCCCCGTACTTTCTAGGATCCGGCATATTCAACTTGCAGTTCTTAAATTTTCCACACCAGGGTCTCTCTCTATTTCAGGCCTTCACAGGAGGGCTTCTCTCTGTCTAGAATGTTCTTCTCCCCACCTTTTTCTTTCCTTTCCTCCATCCCTTTGCCTGACTGATTCCTGTTCAATTTTCAGTTTTCAGATTAAACATCACTTACCCAGAGAGGACTTACCTGAGCCCCAGAAGTCAGATCAAACCAACTGATAGGTATTCACAGGGCATCTGTCTCCTCTTTAAGGGGGGGGGTCTGCTCACTGGTTTGTTTTCCCTCCTATATCCTGAGGGTTTAGACAGTGTCTGTTGTTCATGGTGTATCCCAATACTAACAATAGTGCTTACCGAATAGAATTGAAATGTCACCACATTTCAGCCAAACATTCGGGAAAACTTTCTTACATACAGTGCTTTCAGGCCATAAAGGCACTACGTTTCAAGTGATGCTTTGGAATCACTGTTTTTAAGATAAAAGTACAACTAAAGAAGTACTGTGTGCAAGAGTTCCATAATCTCTAATTCAGTATAATTTCTCTTAAATAAAATCATTAACTTCCCCTACCACAACCTTATCCTCTGCTTTGGTCCTGTCCACCACCCTCACTTGTAGTCTTGTGGGGCATGTGTGGAAGGAAGAGGGTAGTTATGACCACCATTACCACCACTAGCGAGCCACTATGTTGCTGCCATTTTAGGTAAATCATCACTGTTTATCCTACCGGAAGAAAAGGCTCCAACACTGCTGATCGTCTGCAAGGCTGAGACAGCTTCCGTAGATTGACAAACAACCAGAGATAGCTCTGTGAGTTTGCAGACCAGCCAACCATTGACCAAGTATGGTTTCAGAGGACACCCCTACCTTCCAACCACATTACTCCAATTCTTAACTGAAATGCCCCAGGAAGACCTCTGTCCTTTAGCCTAAAGCAGTGGTTTTCAAACTCTCACATGCATCAGATTGCTAGGACTCACCTCTAGAGTTTCTGATTCAGGAGTTCTCTTTCAGGCTGAACATTTGCATTTCTATGTTCCAGGTGATGGTGATGCTGCTGGTCTGGGAATCACACAGTGACACCTTCCCATTTAAAATAGGAATGGCTTTCAGGCCTGGTGGTGAGTGGGATTCACCTGTGGAGGGGTTTTTATTTGTTTGCTTGTTTGTTTTTGTTTTTGTTCTTCATAGAGTTTGAGTGGGGCCCAGTTTTTCGTATTTTATAAATGTATCATAAGTGATATTGATTCATGGCCAAGGTTGAAAACCATGTTATCCCTATTAAAAAGCAATGATCCCTGTAAAGGTCTAATATTTCAATGCAGAGCCAGTGATTTACAAGCTAACATAAATGAGTTCTTGAGCTTTCCTGAGAGATTTTAATGGCGGGAAATGGCATGAATACTGAGGCACAACCCCAGAGAGAAACAGAGGCAGCCAAACCCCACCTTTACTCATGCCATCAAATGCTCAATCTGTGGAAGCCTCAGGCAGGAGGTGCCCTTGAAGCCACAATTACAGCTGCTTCCTTGGAGGCTCGTACTGCCTTTGGCTTTGCTTCCTGTAGCCTCCCCAGCTGCAGCCAAGACTGTCCAAATGGGCAATGTGAAAAATCCAGCCAGTCAGATATTTTGACTGAAGCCCTGGATACCACTTAGCCTCTGGCATGAGAAAGCTCTTCCCCTGACCTCCTGTAAACTTCGCTGTCCAGGGAGTCACTGGAAAGCATCCCCATATGAATTTGATCATTGGACTACCTTTGAACATAGGAGCTCAATGGGACTTTAAGCTTCACTTTAACTTCACTGGGAGAAATGACATGTTTCATGAGCAGGACAAATTCAGTCAGACGTTCACCCCTTCACTTTCTAACCCCAGGGGAAGTGGGTGGTAAGAGGAAGGGGTCAATGTTTTTCCTGTTTCCTCTCCCAAATGCAACTTCTGAGTCATATCACCTCTTGAGAAGATAAGACCTACTTGCTTAGTCCCTCTATGGCTTTAAGAGGACTTGGTCGTCTTTGGGAATTGACCTCCTTTTTGCAGGGACAGCAGTCTCTGAGAGTGAACTCCAAATTTACTAGAGAGCTTCCACTTTTAAACCACAACATCTCCATCCTGTAGCAGAGCCTGACTAGAAGGGTTGTGGGAACTGTAGGAATTGCAGGCCACAGCTGAGGTTGGTGGGATGGGATGCAGGCAAGTGGCTGAAGCCTGAGAGGTCCTTCTGCCCTCAGGGTGGTGGGTGTGAGCTGAGTGGGACTGAGGTGTGAGGGTGTTCACAATCCTGCATTATCCTAAGTATGGCCTGGATAGAGGCCTTATTCCTGATCTACAAAGAGAAATGGGAGGCCCTGGAGAGAGCCTGAATGGGTGAGGGTGGGGTGAGGGGAGACAGCATAAATTCCCTCTGTTACTGGGGAGGTCACACAGGAATTTACAGCAAAAGAATCCTGAGAAGCAGGAGGCCCAGGTTCCCACTGACTGGCTGAGCAACCTCAGAAAAGTCATGCTGCCTCTCTGTGCCTCAGTTTCCTCATCTGTAAAGGGAGAAGGCCAGAGCAGATGATTGTGCCCAGCCCTAGTCTATGATTCTATAGTTATGTGAATTAAACTACTATTGTGTCTCTTATCTTAAGATACAATAGGCAGTTGCTAAAACTGCTTTCAACTCAGGAAAGGTTATTGCATCTGTAGTACTGGAGTTAGTTTACAAATAACAAGAATTTTAGAACCCTCCAAATGAAAATCCATCTCTCTCTTCCTCCCTCCCTCTCTCTCTGTATCATACAAGCTCATGTTAAAAGATGGAGAATGTTCTAAACAAACTGCAGTACAGATTAAATTTCTGAACTTTAACATAGCATAACTTTAACATCACTTCAAAGGAAAATAATCGTATGATTCTTAAAGCCCTTATTCCCAACAACAAGACATGTAAGTGACGAAAACTCAAGAAGAAAGGAAGCCTTCCTCCAGGAGATAGAGGTTAATCTCTCCTGCTCCCATGTGAGCTGGTTAATGACTAGCTCCTAACAAAGAGTATATAAAGGGGAAAAAATAACTTCACCATGGAGAGACCTAACAGACACCACCTTAACCAAATGACCAATGTTAATATCACCTGTGACCAGTCATGGTCCTATCACATAGCCTTGACTGGATGTAGTGGGAAGCCTGCTTCACCTCTGTACTATTCTTCCTAAAAACCCATAACCCCAGAATAAACATAAGAAAACACCAAACAAACCCAAACTGAGGGATATTCTGTAAAATATCTTACCAGTACTCTTCAAAACTGTCAGGGTCATAAAAACAAGACTGAGAAACTCACAGAGCAGAGGACACTAAAGAGACACAGTGAATGAGGTCACAGGATGCTCCTGCCTAGAACCTGGAATGTAAAATAATAATAGAAAAATTGGTGAACTCCAAATAAAGTTTGCAATTTAGTTCATGGTATTACACAAAAGCCAATTTCTTAGTTTTGATAAATGTACCATAGTTGCATAAGTCGATAACATTAAAGAAAGCTGGGAGAAGGGAACATAGGAATCCTCTGTGCTTCATCTTTGCAACCCTTCTGCAAAGCTAAACATATTTCAAAATAAAAAGATTTTTAAAAACCAGATTGTACATAAGGTAGGCAAAGTCATTCATGCAAAACAATGTGTCAACTGGCAATGAATATAGCATTACTGTTTGGATGTAAGATTTAAGATTTGTACATCATAAACTTAAATTAAATGTCAACAAACACCATGGCCTCACTGTCTTTGTTTTCATATTCACTAAATTAGACTACAGTCTCTTGTAAGGGGTTTTCTGCCTACCACTGTATCCCCATCACCTAACTCAGAATAGGCACTCAGAAGGTATGTTTTGAGTGAATAAATGAATGACTCGTATTATTCTGGGCTTGTACAAAGAAGGCAGGGGATGAATTCAATCCCTGCCTTCCTGGAACACACAATCTAAGAATATATAATTGTATATTTTTATTCATGTATTATTTATAATGTGATATGGTTTGACTCTGTGTGTCTCCACCCAAAACTCACCTTGAATTGTAATAATCCCCACATGTAATGGGAGGGACCTGATGGGAGGTAATGGAATAAATGGAGGCAGGTTTTTCCCATGCCGTTTTTGTGATAGTGAGTAAGTTGAGATCTGATGGGCTTATAAAGGGGAGTTCCCTTGCACATGTCCCCTTGCCTGCTGTCATGTGAGATGTGATTTTGCTCCTCATTCAGCTTCTGCCATGATTATGAGGCCTCCCCAGTCATGTGGAGCTGTGAGTCAATTAAGCATCTTTCCTTTATAAGCTACCCAGTCTCAGGTATGTCTTTATTAGCAGTGTGATTACAGACTAATTCAATATGTCAATATAGCTATCTTTTTTTACATGTTACTTTATATCAATCTAAGAAATCTAAGATTTATATATAAAATCTAAGATACATTTACATAACGCACACACACATACAAACAGAGAGAACAAAATACCAATATTCAACCAGCCTGAGGAAAAGTGAATTCTGTGTCAGGAGGGATTGTTGCCTATTTCTGTTCACTGCAGTATCCTTGGCACCTAGAATAGGTTTGGCACCAGCAGACACTCAACAAATATTTGTTCGATGGATGAATGGAACAAGCCTCCCGTACCAGCCAAGGGGATATGCCTTCCAGATCCTCTCAGGGTTTGTGTGTAGGAAGAGTGGGGGTGCTGCACAGAAAGCTTCAGCCTTCCCAGCCACAAGGCAAGTTGGCATGTGTTGTATATGTGCTCAATGTTCTGCTGAGATGCCTTAAAGACTCTCCCAACCGGCCTTCAATGGCCTTTCAGAGTCCTCATTCTGCACAAAGGTCTGACTGTGTTTTTTGCCAAGGGCAAAATAATAATAATAACAATAATAATAATACATTGGAAATGTCTCCACATACTCATTTCCACATTGCAATTTGTGTTGACTTGGTGAAAAAATTCAATGGAACTGAATACCACTTTCCAGAGTGGAACATTAAATGACAGACCCCAAGCAAAAAACTCAGAATGAGTCCCTTTAGTCTTCTGAATGATGAAATCAGTTTCTCTCCACAGACAGACTTCTCTTCTGGGGGTCCCAAGAGGTGCAGGGCTGCTCCAGTGGTATTTATGCTCATCATCCTGTGAGCTCTTAACTCGAGCATGACTCTGGACAGAGCATGGGTAATTTCTCTACTTGAGAAACCCTCAAAGTAGAGCCTCAGGTTACAAAGATGAAACACAATTGTGTACACAGAAATCTGCCTGTGAAGCCAAAGGTAATTAGCCTGTGCTTTTTATGCTTCAGAATCCCAACCTCAAACACTCTGTTGTTCTCCTCCGGGCACTGGGTTATGTAGGACTAAAATTAAAATGAAGTCCTCCCTTCACCATGACACTGTAATTAATAGATAAAGGGAAAATGATGTTTGTGGGCTAAGGTCTCCTTTACTTGCATTGTGGGACAATGGAGAAAACCCAGTGAAGCAGTTTATCTCTGAGCCAGACCTGACAGCTGCAGAGGAAGGGATCTGGGAAGCATTCAAACGTCCATCCAGCCAAAACTAACTTCCTTTCTCTCCCACCATAGGGCCTACCATTGTCAGCATTAATTTTCAGCAAGTCACTCCCTTGCCCCCTGCAAGCTTGAATGAAGATGTTGCCTGAGTGGAGTGACAAATTAAGCCACTCACAGAGGCTTAAGTATTTGTCAGATTAACCAATAAGTTATTTGAATAGGTCCTAAGGAAATAGGACATGAGATGTACCGGTTAGATGATGATGGTGATGATGGTATTGATGATACTGGAGATGCTGGTGGTAATGATGATGGTGATGATAATGGTGGTAGCAATGTCAGGGTATTGGTAATAGAACTAATAACAAAAATACCATTTTAGAAAAATGAATTATGTACCAGTCAGCATGGTAAGTACTCTGTATTGATTATTTCAGCTTGTCTTCACATCCATTTTTATATATCCATTGATATGGTTTGGCTGGACCCCCACCCAAATCTCATCTTGAAATCCCACATGTTGTGGGAGGGACCAAGTGGGAGGTAATTGGATCATGGGGGCAGGTCTTTCTCATGCTGTTATTGTGATAGTGAATAAGTCTCATGAGATCTGATGGTTTTATAAAGGGGAGTTTCCCTGCACAAGCTCTATTTTCTTGTCTGCCACCATATGAGACGTGCCTTTCACCTTCTGCCATGACTGTGAGGCCTCCTCAGCCACATGGAACTGTGAGTCCATTAAACCTCTTTCTTTTATAAATTGCCGAGCCTCAGGTATGTCTTTATCAGTAGCATGAAAGTGGACTAATACATCCATTTTATAGATGAGGAAAACTAAAACTCAAAAGAGAGTAAGCAACTTGCCACCCAGCTAGAAGGAGAAAGGGCTGCAGCCCATCCAAAATTAAGATGATGCCTTATCTGAAGCAACCTAAGCATCTGTGGTTAGAACACAGTTTCTAGGTCCCTACAGAGGTAAGAGCACACCACGAAACAGGGTGCAGGGAATCACCTGACATCACAACTTGACCCAAGTGCCCTCTGCTCTCCTCACTTTTTCAGGTATTACTTAAGGGGTAACAGACCTCAGATTCATTTATCTACCATCTCTGGTGAAGAAATACATAGGAAAACACAAAGACACATCTCAGTGAGTGTGGCAGGAGCTGCTGGGTGAAGAATGTCCTTTTACTTGGAATTGTTTCTCTAGGAAGAAAGGACAGATCATTCACACTGGGAGACATGAAAACTTGGAGCTTTGATATAAAGACCAGGAGCTGAATGGTATACAATTAGCAGCATGTTCCCTTTATCTCTCCTGGTCTCATTGTCAATATTAAACAGTTTCAAGTATCACATTGTCACTTCATGTTATCTTGTTATCTTAATCTGTGGTTTCATCTGTTGGATCTTTCCAACTGTATTGCTAACTCTTTGTAGATAGAGACCATTATCCTGCTTCTTATACATCATCCCCCACATCCCAGCACTATACTGGTCATAATGTGGTGTCTAATGTATATTTGTAGTCTAATTTCCTCCACTGCAGTCAGGTTCAGCTGCTGAGGACTCTGCCGGACATTGAGATGTCAGAACCATGAGAACCCAGAGAATTTGCAGAGGCTACCTGGCCTCTCAACAAGAACAAAACTGACCCTCTTTATAGTTTTCTGGGACACCAGGCAAGCTTTGGTAAGATTTGGAATCTGTAGCAGACTCCAGATAATTTTTCAGGAGGTGGATTGATCTCAGTATGAAAAATGACCCAGTGTTGCCGCTGCCAGAGAGTTCAGGGAGTGAGGAGGGAGGGCTACCTGAAATTATGCTTTATAAAAATGTACATGCTCACATTCTTCACAAAAGGAAGGCTAGCACGGCAGTTAGCACAGACTCAAAGCCTGAGTTCAAATGTCGACTGTGCTACTTGCTAGCTGTGTAACTTTGGACAATCTACTGAACCTCTTTGTGCTTTAGTTTTTTTCACTTGTAAAATAAATATAATAGTACTTATCCTATAAGATTGTGTTGTCCATGGAATACTATGCAACCATAAAAAATGACGAGTTTGTGTCCTTTGTAGGGACATAGATGAATCTGGAAACCATCATTCTCAGCAACTGACACAAGAACAGAAAATTAAACACCGCCTGTTCTCATTCATAAGTGGGTGTTGAACAATGAGAACACATGGACACAAGGAGGGAAGCATCACACACTGGGGTCTGTTGGTGGGGAATAGGGGAGAGACAGCAGGGAGGGAGTTTGGGGAGGGATAACATGGGGAGAAATGCCAGATATAGGTGACGGGGGGATGGAGGCAGCAAGCCACATTGCCATGTAGGTACTTATGCAACAATCCTGCATGTTCTGCACATGTATCCCAGAACCTAAAGAGCAATAAAATATATATATAAATAAATACATAAAGCTCCAGTATTTTACCAAGCAGTTAAATTATAAGGTGTTATAGCTGAGGAATAAAACTGACATTAAATAATAAAAAAAAAGATTGTGTTGTGAGGATTAAATATGTATAAAACACTTAAAAGAGTTTCTGGCATATAGCAAGTGCTGTATAGAGATTAGACATTATTATTACTAGCATCTTTACTTAGTAATTACTATTATAGCATTCTGCAGTTACAACATATCTTTACCACCCTTTGCAATGTATGATGCTTTTTAAAAGGCATAAATGACATCCTAACAATCAACAATCATATGTCTGTATCACTACACACTACTGTCTTTTGTTTTTGTTTTTGATTTTGTTTTGGAGACAGGGTCTCTAAGCTGGGCTCAAGTAATCATTCTCCCCTGTCAGCCTCCTGAGTAGCTGAGACTACAG